GTCAGACACTTGGTCATAAGGGTAAACAACCAACGTTCCACAGTTCACTGTGTTGATAAGCTATCTTGCTAGGCCAGTTAGGCGTATGAACTTCTTTTTCCAAATGTTTGAAGTTTATGACAGCTTTATCAGGAGGAAATGTCATGGAAGTTATGTAGCACCAACAAAGTAACACCAAGTGCCAAGTAATACAAAGTGCCAAGTTTCAAATTTAGCTGAACTAATTACTTTTTCTCTTTGATTATGTTATTAACTTTATAGTAATTAGATTAATTTGCGTCCCTCCCTGATTCTAGAAATAGTTTTTCCTTTTGTGCTTTTTATATATATCTCAGTCGAGTCTGTCTACAGTAACAAAATACCTTAGCTGAAATAATTTATGAGCAGCAGACATTTATGTTCCTTAATCCTGGAGGCTGAAGTCCAGGATCAAGGTGCTGGTGTCCAGTGAAGTGTCCTCCCTCATAGTGATGTCTACCTTTCATCCTCACTTGGTGGCTGGGACCAACAGTCTCCTTCAGACCTTTTTAACAAGGGTCCTGATTCCATTGTGGGCTCAAAGCTCATCATTTAACACTTCTCAAAGGACTCTACCACGTATACCCTCACACTGGATCAGACATATGGATTCAACATATGAACCACGGGAACACACACATGCAGACTGTATCCGTGTGCCTTTTTGAATTGGTAAACAGTGTGCTTCAGAAGTTAAAAGCTACCCCAAAGGAGGTTTCTCTTTAGTCCCAATCCATTCCTTTCCCAGTCCCTTTTCTACAGCCAACTAATATTTAAATATTTAATATGTAACTAATACTTAAAATTAATACCTGGCTAATTTTCACAGTGTGTTTAAAATGTCAGCAAATTCATATTTATATCCTTACTCTTCCCTCTTCCCAGAAAAACAGTGGATTCCTCAAACTTTTTGGCACTTTGCCTTCTAATTTGACACCACTTACAGGAATCATCTGATAACAATACACTGAGAACAGCTTCATTTTTTTTTAATGATTGTCTAATCCTCTGTCACCTGTAGGTACACAGTTTACTCAAACATTTCACTACCAGTGGATATTTGAATTGTTACCCTTTATTTTTTTTGAAGTTGTTAGTGCATGCGTCATTTCATATTTGTGCAACTATTTCCTTATTTTTTTTGAAGCAAGGTTGTTGGATCAAAAGGGAAACAGTGCTACGATCTTTTTTTTTTTTTTTTTTGGTCTTTTTCCTTTTTATCGGTACTGGGGATCGAACTCACGACTGCCTGCTTCTTATGCTGCTGAGCTAAACCTCCAGCCCAATCTTGATAGATATGAATGAATTCTCCTGCAAAGGAGTTGTATTGCTTTTCATTCCTGACAATATGATAGTGCTGTTACTCCAGAGCCTTGCCAGTAGTGTGTATTGTCAAAGTTTTGATTTTTGCCATTTTGGTGGGAGGAAAAATGATATCACAGTGTAGTTTTGATACTCATCTCTCCCTGTATAATTGAGGTTAGAGAACTTTCCATGTTTAAGGAACATTTTCATTTCCTTTCCTATACACTGTTAGTTCAGGTATTTTGATATGTTCAGGACTGGTCTTTTTCTTCTTTATTTCTAGGAACTAGGTTAAGATATAAATCATTTGGCTGTGAACTAAGCTCCAAATGTTATTTATTAGTTTCTATTTGTCTTTAGACTTTTATAACGTTTAATTTAAAAGTATTTTTAAAAGTCTTTATCAGCAATTATGTATCGATTCAAGAGTTGGAATCATAGTTAAAGTGATTTTATTTTCAGGCTTTGAAAAACTTCACTCGTGTTTTCTATTAATGTTTGTGATGTGTCATTTGAAATACACATTTGGATAGCAAATTTATTGGAGTAAAGTTTTCTTCACGTGGCTTTTGCATATTTCCTGTTAAATTTATTTTTATTTTATCTTTTTGCTGCTATTGTAAGTAGTACCTGAATTCAATCCATTTGTATTCTCTGTAAGCTTGGGCCAACCAAAAGCCCTGGGCTGAACAGACTTATTAATGAGTCTTCAATCATAGGTCTTTCGGGGTTGAGTTGGTTTTTGAAGCAGTTCTCTCTCCAAGTGTCTTTCAAACCACCACCTCATTGCTTAGGTACTGCCACTGTGAGTGGTTTTGCCATGGCTGGGAGGCAGATGAGGGTGAGGGACATGGCACACTGGTCAGTGCTCTGTACCGGGAAGGAGCTGGCCTTTTTGCTGTACTCAGCGACAACAAAATGTACCACCAGGGGGCGCCGGTCCGCGGGGCAGAGAGCGGGAGCACTCCCTGCATTGTCCCTTCCCTGCAGGTGCAGGATGTTGGGCAGGAGACAGGGACAGAAGGCAGACAAGTTGTGAGGGTTTGGTGGCTCTTTCTACTAACCTCTGAGCTGGAGGAAAGACTGTAGAGGGGCTAGAGCACAAGGACACTGCTGAGAAAATCCTGGATGATTTCCTCTGCACAAGACACGGGTCTGTGCAGAAAGTGTGGTGTCTCCCAGGCTCCTCTGCCCAGAGCTGCGAGCCCAGCTCAGGACTAGGTCAGGACTGGGTCTCAGGAATTGGCTGAGAGTTCATGCGGGGCTCTCAGCAGGCCAAGGGGAAGGCTGGACTGTGAAAGGGTGTCCTGGGACAGTGTTTAGCCTTCACTGGAGGCCCTAACTTGTTTCCTTTCTTCAGGCAAATGTGAAGACCCTTCTCCAGCATCTCCACGCATCAGGGCTGACCAGACCGGTCTAACCCATAGCCCCAGAAGTCAGCGTAGAGAAAGAAGTACATTGGCTCATTTTAGAATTTCCAAATAGAAGAACCAGCACGTGATTGAATTTGGAAGCATGTTCTCTATCACAGGTGCTGCTGACTAGCCCCAAAGCACAGGGTGGGGCTGGAGCTCTTAGACCAGACCTGCTTCTCAGAGCTGGCAGGGGCCATTCTGTGGGTGGTGGGACCAATCAGGCTCTCCTCTGGGAGAGAGGCTCCCTGAGGGACGGGGGAAGGTTCCCTGGAAGACCACTGTGTCAGTTTCCACCAAGGCAGAACTGGGTCTAGTAGCCCACTAGAATCATCATGTCCTTATGTTCTCACCTCAGATCCAGAGAGCAGGCTGAAGAGGGCCTCCGGGGTGCTGGCCTTGGAATCCAGAGATTAGGGTTTCACTTTCGATAAAATACATTACATGGAGACAAATTTCTTCCTCTGATTTTCTTTTAAGTTGCTTTGTTAATATTGTTATCAATAATCAATGGTTTGAACTTTTCCTATATTTCAGTCTCTGTGCTAAACACCTTAGCAAGCTTTAGTTCATCTAATCCTCAGAGCAACCCTATGAGGGAGGTTCTATAATTCTAATACATAGATGAGGAAACCAAGGCTGAGGGAGATGAGTAATTTTCCTTCAGTCATCAGCCCAGGATGACTTTGGTCCCAGATACTACTGTATGGTGACTTGTTTCCCTTGAATGTCTCTGAAGAACACCACTGATCAAAATGCACTTGACCAGGTTCTTCTTGGTTGCTTAGAAATAAAAAGAAAACTTCTTAACTTCTTTTTGTAACCAACTCTTAAGTTTCTTTGGATTTCCTGTTACATAAGACAAGTTTCTTTTCTTTCTTTTTTTTTTTTTTTTGCTCCCATCCACCCCACTGTAGAAATGGGCTGTCAATTTTTACAGAGAAAATTCAAGCAACCAACATTTTATGTCTACATTTCCACTAGTTGCTCCCGGCTCTCCCATTTCACGCCTCTACTTTGGCAGCCAGTTTTGGCAACATCCCTCCGTGGACATGCCCTTCCTTGGACAGTGTTAGATGCTACTGCTCTTTTAGGTGAAGGCATTGTGGCTACAGGAAAGTTGGTGCAGATGTCTCTTGATGTAAGTTTTGAAGGGCAGGATGACTTTTGATAGGTGCAGAGAAGTTGGCAAAGCCTACATTCATCATCTAGAGGGGCATGGGTGGCATATGGGTCATGGTACAGAGTTGAGACTGGGCAGAACCCGCACCTGAGGTAGAGCACTTTCCAGAGGAAAAGAAATCTGATCGTGGGACATGCTCAGAGAGTTTGTCTGGAGTGGAGGTGGCAGGACACCAGGCTTGGGATGTTTCCCCTAACAGAGATGCAAAGCACTTATCATGGAGCATGTCTGAGGTAGCCGTGGGGACAGCCTGGGAGGCTGATGGTTGCTTCAATCTCTTCTCTTTAATGGCTTCCCTAGGGAGTAGTGTCTGAAAACTCTCTCAAGGCAAAGCTGTGATTCTTCAAAGTATGGTATGGATTCTGGTGTTTTATGGGCATTCAGGGACTTTTACACGAATGGGGGAGGCTGAGAGAGAGGGAGAAAGAAAGGAGGAATCATTGGACCGTAGGACCTAACGATAGGCTGCGTATCCCAGACAAGCGTCAACCAACTCCAGGCTCCAGGCCAGGTGCTGGCCTTATTTGTCGCTGCATTTTCAGCTTTGTTGGGGTCACTGCAGACAGGAAAGCTCAGTCTCACCTCTTCTGATTCTAGTGCCTCAGAGGAACTGAGCCAGGATGTAGTGAAGTCTCAATCCAGATAAACAGGACAAAAATAGGATTTGAGGAAAGATTTCATTCAAAGAAAGTTGCTTTGCTTGAGAAAGACCTTTCTCTCACCTGTGTGTTGTCCCCAGATGTTAGATTTCAGCCCCTTTTATTGCTGTACATTCTTTAGCGCAGGGTGAAGTTAGTGTAACCCGCTGAGCAAGCAGTTCCTCGTTGGCAACAGAAGCCCTTGAACTCTTTAAAATAAGGCTGATTTTTTTTTTAAAAAGTGCATGAATATCGAATTTAAGCAGGATAGATTAATTTACAGTCAATAAAGACCAGTATATTTCTACCCACATTTTTGGTTTATTTTAAAATGTATTTCCTTCACAGGCTTTCTTGTGGTTAATTCTCTGCCGTTTGTTTACCTGCTGAGAGCCTGATCGGTTTTGACTTTGCTTTTGCTGAACTCAGTTTTTCCAAGACCCTTTTCTGTGCTGGCTTAGTTTCACCTTACCAGCTGTTACTGGCCAGGTTCACATCTCTTCCTGTCAGCGCCCTGGGCAGCAGCATGCGCTGGTGTCTGTTGCTGATCTGGGCCCAGGGGCTGAGGCAGGCTGCCCGTTTTACCTCAGGTAAGACCTGAACACCTTGCAGAGCAGGAGGGAGAACCATCTGAGGGCGGAGAGGTACAGCACGGAGCTGGGGAAAGGTAAGCACCAGGAAGATAGCTTTCCCTGGGAGAAGCAGAGTTTCTTGTCAGATTTCCTTTCCCTAGAATTTTTTTGGCTTTCCTGAAGGTTTCTCCAGACAATCATCCAGATAGTCAGGTTTTATTGCAAAGGCTAAGACACCCAGGACAACACTAAGCTGCTGGAAGACCCAGCACTAGGAGAGGTGGTGTGGGCAGAGTCTGGCCTTCTAAGTGGGAAGACTAAAACCAACGATATGTAAATAATAATGAGCTAGTTGTGAAGCAATACAACTGAACCCTGAGAGGGAGAGAATTGTGCAATAGGAGAAGTGAGTGTGAAAGGCAAAGGGTGGTCGTGTTGGGCTGAGGCCCTAAAGGATTCTGGGAGGAAGTGCAGCTTCCATGAGCCTCTAGGTGGGAGAGGAGGTGGAGGTGGAGGCAGACTCTGAGGCAGAAGTGATGAGGGAGGGGGGCAGGAGAGGGTGGAGGAGCACGGAGAAGGCCTTGAAGACCGGAAGGGGGCCTTGGGCTGCGACTTGGAGGCTAGAATGACAGCTGTAGAGTGAAAGATCCCTTGAAATTGGGGGAGACAGGAGATGACTATAATCTCCTGTTTGAGGGGAGGGGCAAAAAGATGCCCCAGAGGAATCAGGGGTCCTGAAACTAATTCTGGCCTTGGAACACCTTGGGATTTCTATAGGAAGGTTGAAAGCAGTTGTTGATCTGGGTCTCATAGTGTTTTTTCCTCTCTGCAGAATCTGTGGAAGGCACAGTACTAACACAGGGGAATATTCTGGCGAAGGAAGGTGGCTCTGTCATCTTACAATGTCACTTATCCTCCACTACTGCTAACGTGACCCAGGTCAATTGGGAGCAGCAAGACCAGCTCTTGGCCATTTATCACCCTCATTTTGGTTGGTACATCAACCCCATCCTCAGTGACCGGGTGTCCCCGGGCCCCAGGGAGGCCATTGCCTTCCATTCGCTGACCACGAATGACACAGGGGAGTACTTTTGCATCTACCACACCTACCCGGATGGGATTTACAGGGGGAGAATCTTCCTGGAGGTCCAAGGGAGCTCAGGTATGTGCACCGGGGCAGAGCAGCTGATGAACCTCTTTCTGCAACACAGAAAACACTATGAAGACACGCTTGGAAGTAGGACTTCCACAGCCCCGAGCACATCTGCGTTACCCCAGGAGCTTTTAAAGAATATTATAAATAAAAGGCAAAATCAGAGATAAATAGGAAGCAGGGGGATAGATTTTTCTCAAGTAGGAAGCGGATCAAAAGGGGAGGAAAAGGGATTAAGATGTGTTATGTACATGCATCAGCCCCACATGAAGAATGTAAACATTATGTACTGCAAGCATTGAAAAAAAATGGAAAAAGCTAAAGATTATTGATATCAGGGAACACCCAGACCAATGAATTCAGACTCCAGAAACAGAGCTTGGATGTGATACATGGCCAAAGAGGACCTAGAAACATGGTGCTTGCCCGAGGCACAGCTATCCACAAGGGGCACTCGTCAGGAGTTCATATGCAGAAGGTGCTCACCTGTTTTCCTAGTACCACGAGTGGAAATTGGAACTAGTCCTCAAGTTTATAAATACTAGAGCTGATTAGAAACGAAGCACAGCTTGTCCTAAGTAAATGGGCAATAATTGATACTTATGAGGTACTTCAAAATTTCCAAGATGCCCCCATAGTTATCATCTACCTGGACACTTAAACCAAATCTCCAGATATTGGGAAAGGATTATGTATCATATCTAAGTGGCAGTAAGGCAGATTCATTAAGAGCCAGACAGACTGGGTGCAAATCTTGCTCCTATGTTGACTTGGACAGGTAATTTTTCTCCTCTAAGTTAGTCTCCTCATTAGTGCAGCGAGGATAGTGTAAGACCTTAGGAGGTGCTGATGTAGGACCGATCTGCTCACTACAAAAATGTCTTTAGAACAGTGCCTGGGACATGGTGAGCACTGTGTGTTGACTGAATACGATTCCCTTTGACTGTGTGGTAGAGGGGGAGGCTTAGACTTGGAGTTGCTCAGAGTGACCAAGCTGATTTCAACATGGATATTTTTAGTTTTATGAAACTCCATAATCTGAATTTCTATTTACTGCAATCACTTGTGTTAAAGATGAAGTTTTATGAGTTTTCAAGCTTCATGTAAATTGAGAAGCCAATGTAAACAAAAATGTAGTAAGTAGTTAAGGTCTAGCATCTGAATCAAACTGCCGAGGGCTGATTGTTGGTGAGTACCTGAGTAAATTATTTAGCTTTTTCTCAGTTTTTACACCTATGAAATGTGGTGGCATGTCCCCGGGCTGCAGGGTTAGAGTAACAGGGAGTCCAAGCGGAAGGCCCTGTGAGTTGGGGGCCCAGGAACCCCGTATCATACCGGAGCTATGTCTGTTTGCTGGTGTTTGGGCCAGACATTTGGGGTCCATGCTGCTGGCGAGCCTCCTCCTCCCTGGCCGCAGCTGTGGAAATGAGGGAGTCTCTTCCCTGTGTTCTGTACACAGCCTGGGAGAGCGCTCAGAAGATGTCCTGTTGGACTAAATCCTTGCCCAAAGCCAGCAGGATTCCTTTCTTTTTGCAACTGTGTATCTCGGGACAGTCTCCTGGCAGCTTCTGTCTCTCGTCCTGGTTGTCGGGGGTCAGCTGCTAATGTGAAATCTCCCTGTCCTTTAACAATGTGGGTTAACTCCCATTAACTCTGACTTCTTTTTTGTTTGTTTTTATTTTTGAAGTTTTGGGGCATTGAATCCAAGTTCTTCATGCTTGAGCTACATCCCGTCCCTCTTTTACTTTTTGTTTTGAGACAGAGTCTCTGTAAGTTGTTAAATTGCCCTTGCTGGCAATTTCCTGAATTTCCTGCCTCAACCTCCTGGAGTACTGAGATGACAGATGCACACCACGACACCTGACACCTGACTAACCTTGCCTTTTCTGTCTCAAACCTTAGTCCATGTCCTTACCAGCTATAACAATAAAGCAATTTCTAACCTTGAGCTTAACCTACAATTGAAGCTAACCTTAAAACTAACCTGGTTAATAGGCATGAGGGCTCGTGGTGGTGCTTGTGTAAGGGCTGCTCTTCTTTCAAAGATCTTGAAATCTTTTTTCTGTGACTCTAACTGTGATTAGAGGAATTGGTGATTTTATGTCAAACAAAACCTCCTAATGAACACGATACACTTATTCAATACTTCTGTGGTCCTAAGTACCCTTAATTTATCCTTAAATCTAAAACCAAACCCACATATTTATCCCTTTTAAAAATATGTCATAGTTTTATCCTCTGTCTTCAACTGTCTTCAGGCTGGAAGAGAAGCCAGTCCTGGTCCTGGTTCCCACCCTCTCTCTGGCCGCTCGCCTGGCCGCAAGTCCTCTCCGGTTCTGTAGGGAGCTTCTGTGGCCCTGCTAGGTGCTGAGCTGTGATTACTTTGTCTCCCCTCTGCCTTCTCTTCCCAAATGACTTCACTGCTGTGGCCAGGCAGGGCCAGCCCGGTCTACGGTGCCCAGGTCCTCAGAGCCAGCAGAACATGATATAGAGGGTTGGACACTGCAGGCGCTGTCTGTGTCCTGCCTGGACTCCTGCGTCCTGCCCAGCACTCCGGGGAGGAGTTAAGGATGAAGTGGCCTGGGAAGCCTCAGGTCCATGGCACAGCACGCATAGAGCTTGTTTCCCTTATATTCTCCTTGAAGCAAGTTTGCCTGTCTTCAAAACTCCTCCCTTGTCTCTTCTTCCTTCCAGTTACATTTTAAGTGTTAAAGAAACTCATTTATTCATGTTTTTATTCATACTGTAAATATTTATTGAGCATCTACTATATGCCAGGTACCAGGAACACACCGAAACATAAAGTTCAGATTTCTAGCTGGAAATCACTGTTATGGGTTAAGGCAAAGGGTAGATCTTTTGCATTTTGTAGTTTAGTATTACTTTTATTTTAAGATGGATATAGAGTTCACATATATAATGAAAATGTTTACTTTCTGTGCTTCCTTCTGGATGATGTTATGTGTTTAATTCTGTGATTACTCAAAGTGATTTTGTTGTATAGAGGGAAGGCATGTTAACAAAGATCTGCTCTTGATTAAATGTCTGGCTTATGTCTCTATTTAGATCAGTCATGGATTTTGGGATAGGCCAGGAGAATACTCTACTTTCCGGACAGTTGGGCTCATGGCTGCCAGTCCTGGGTTAGAGGAAGGGCTCGGCCAGTCCCTGCTTCCCTGGGGAAGGCAGCTTTACCTCTGGCCTCTGCCACTGACCTCTCTTTTGTCCTCCTTCTAGCGGCCAAGACCAGCACTTGGTTCCAGATTTCATTGCTTGGAGCTGTGGCCTCAGCGCTGGGGATTATCTGCGCAACAGCCTTTGGGGTGGTGACTCTGGCCAGAAAGGTAACGGGGTCTGGTTTCACAGCTCAGTCACCAGCAGCCCCCTGCTGTCCCCCTGGTGCTTTCTGGTTGTCTTGCTTTTAGGAGACCGAATAGGATGGCCTTTGCACTGCTTCCTGTGCCTTTTCTCGGTGCCTGTCCTGCATCTGGTGTACTCTCATCCTTCCCCCATCTTCTTCCAGGCTGGGATCTCCAGGCCGGGAACACTCCTATCAGTTCCTGGTTCCTGTCTGCCCCTTAAGACGCTGCTCTGAGTTGATTTCTCTGCCATGAACTGGCTGCAGCATGGGGGAGGTTTACTCAGTTTAGGAACCTGTTTAATTCTCACACCTAGTTGGTACTGCTGGATATCCTGGGTCTTCTGCAGGCTGGGAAATAAACATTTGGAAAATGTAGGAGTAGAAGATGCTCAGCCAGGTCAGCGGGCTGTAGGTCTGTTACTTTAGCTTCAGAGGTCGTGTGGCAGAAAGAGCTGTGGCTGTGGAACTGGAAAGTTTCCTTTCTGGTTCAGCACTGAGTGTATGATTTTAGGGTTGTTACATAATTTTTAGGTCTCTGTTTCTTCACATGTAAAATGGATAATAATCTGCTTTCTCTATGTCCTAAAGTTGGGATGGACGGGTGGCATTTCATGTGAAAGCTCTAGAAACAGTGAAGAAATATGTCACCGCCATTATGGTGTCACACGATAGCTGTTGATTGAGATGAGGAAGCTGGCATCACGTTTTGCCAGCTCTCTTGGGACTGTTTAGCCAGCCTAGCTCACTGTGGTTCAACTCACTGCACAAACATTTTGGGGACACAGCCTTGATCCCCAACACTGTTTTCCACCTTTATCCTGCCTCCTCTCCCTAGATTCTGACCCATTTTCCTTCCTATGGTTCCTCTCATCTAACAATGTAACCCTGCAGCCCCAAATTACTCTCTCTGAACTATGTGCTTGGTTCTGTTGTTGTTGATGTATGTAGGTTTAGAGTTGCCATCCTGTTTTCTTGACCTGTACTTTTATTTTCCCTAGTCTACCTTGCATATTTTTGTTTCTTTTTATTATTCAACTGATTTATTTGTCAGTTATGTAGTCTTTTACTGGTTATGGTAGACATCGTAAAATGTACCCCTGGCTTATTAAAATGTATCTATATTGGTACTAATAAACTAGCTTTTAAAAAATCATTTTCTGGATTATGCAGGAACTTTAGATCATGAATTCTTTTTATTTCTGTCCCCCTCCAACTTTTTGCTATCATTTCCATCCCTTTCAGTTCTGTGTATTTTAAACCCTCAGATAAATTATTATTGTTTCGAGTCAATATAGATTTATCCTTTTGGTTGCTCTTCACTGTATCCTGCATGTCCTATCTTACAACTGCGATAATTTTCCTCTTACCTGGAGAAAATCCTGTAGTATAGTGCCAAGATGGGTGGCAATGAATTATTTTGGTTTTTGCTTGTTTTAAAATGTCCCTCTACCCAGACTTTTAAATGATGTACTTGTTTTACTATATATAAAATTCTATGTGTGTAATGTTTTTCTTTTAGCATCTTTCAGCATACAGAAAACAGTATTTCATTATCTAGCTTTCTGTATTTTGTTGAAAACAGGTCTTGTTTTTTGTTCCTTTGAAATATGTGCTCTTTTTATGCTCATCTTTACTTTTGCAGCAGTCAGTGTAATGATATGATTAAGTGTAGTTACCTTTGTATTTATCTGTTTGGGATTCAAACGGAGTGCTTTTTCAATATGTGGCATGATGATTTTCGTCAGTTTGGGGTCAGTCCTAGCTATTATCTCTTTATGTATTACTTCTCTATTCTTGCTGTCTTCTCCTACTGGAGCTTGAATCACAGGTATTTTAAACATTTTCACTTTTCTCCCCCATGTCTCACTCTATTTTTTTTGTATTTCTATCTATTTGTCTCATCCTATTAAACAGCAGATGTTTTCTGACATATGCATCTCCTAGTTTACTAAGCATCTCCTTTAATGTATCTAGTCTTCTATATGGCCTACAGTTTGTCAAAATTTCCCTCCTTTTGTTTTAAGTCTTAAAAAATGTTAATAATTTGAAGTCTGTGGCTGATAATCCTGTTAACTGGATGCTCCATGGGTCTTTGGATGGTCAGATCTTCTTGGCTGATATTTTTCATTGAGTACTGTGTGTTCTACATGAAAACTATAACAGATAATTTGAGGATTAATATAAGATCATCTGTTTCTAGACAGTATTTCCCTTGCACCTGGCAGGTGGTTAATCTGGTACTAGCAACACAAGGTCACCAGAGTTAAATCAGTTCTGAGAGTTTCTACAACTGGATTTTATCTCCTGCCTTACTCCAAGGATGTGGGTCCTTTTTTGGATTTCAATTAAATGTTTGTTGTGTTTAACAAAATCTCCCTTCTGTGATGGATCTAAGCACCAGGTTTGTTCCTCTAGTCAGAATGTCTGTGTAGCTTATCTAGTTCTCATCTATAATTTTTGGGCAGTTGTCTCTAGGAAAAAATGTTGCTGAAATTTCATCTTTCTAGGGTTACTTCTCCTGGCATTTGCTTCTTAACCTACAAATTCCTCCCAATTTTGCACATCTCAATTTTCCCCAAAGAGATGTGCTAATATTTTTTCATCTTTCCTAACTGTTTCCAATGAAAGGATTGGCTCAAAGCAACAACCATAACTCCCACCAGAAGCAGAACACCTATTTTGATGTTATGCTTCATACACACACTCAAAGCTTGACTTCTACTAGTAGAGCAGACTCAGCTGTCTGCCTTCTCTTTACTCGGTTCCACGTGGTTGAGACACCCGTTGAGTTCTAGCCTTCGGCCCCTAATGCCTGAGCAGCCACTTGCTCTCCATCTGACTGGTCCTCGCCAGTCCTCGTGAGGAAGCCATGTGGATGACGTTATGTTTGCAAGCTCTGGGTCCATCTTACTTACTTATTGTTGAGTTATCATCTTTTTCTCTCTCTCCCTTCCCCAGAGAAGAATCACTCTTTGATTTTTTTCTCATTTAACTTCTGCTTCACTTATTTTTACTCTTGTTGCTCTCTTCAAAATCACAGAGACAAATTCCTTCTCTAGATTTCAGCATTAAGAAGAATTGCACAAATCAGAATGGGACTAATAAGAAAGTTTTGTAATGCTTAGAACTCATGGTATCTTCCTTTTTAAAAATTTATTTAATTAATTTATTTATTTATGTTTGTATTTTTACCGGTGTCAGGGATCGAACTCATGACTGCCTGCTTGCAAGGCAGGTGCTTATGCCACTGAGCTAAATCCCCAGCCCTGGTATTTTGCATTTTAAACAGTTTTAATTCTGCATCCTTGCCTTGTCTCTATCCTGACCTGCAAATGAAGAAAATACAAGATTCCTTACTTTAATCTTATGTGACTGAGAAGGGATCAGAGTGAGGTTAGGAACAGATATTTTAGCATCAGAGCCAAAACCACATCCTTCAGTGAGCTGCACATTGTCTAGGTTTTCCCCAATCTTGCTTCTGCCATCCTCCAATCTTGGTGATTTGGTCCCATAGGAACTAAATGGACTCTCCTGTTACTAGGCAAAGCTCAAATGATTGATGGTCTTGTGTAAGTTACATGAGATCTTATATCAGCCAATGACGGCCTGAGGCACCCATTTTTCTGCAGAAATCTTATGTTGTCTTATGATTCACATCCTTTCTTCATGGTTATGAGACAAACATTGAGGTTGTTGACCTTCCTGCTTCACAGAGATGTGGTCATTTATTATTATTCAACAGGTTGTGCTCAACAGGACGCTAGAGACCTAGTAGCATCTGTGATGTGACTGGTATTACCAAGCAAGCCGAAAATCCACAGTGTATTTTATTTATTCCTTGGCTACCACAATACACATGATTAGGAAATGAGACTTCCAAATAAAGGTGAGACAAGAGAGTTAACTGCCCAGAGGAAGAGGTGAAGAGAATGACAGTTGATCTCTAAACTGGGGTGGTTGGTGACCTGATGTCATTTGTTACCAGCATTTTGTACCTGTGGAATGGAAGGATTAATGGGTCATTAGAGGAAGCAGAATATATCTTTCTGTTAAGGATTTAAAGCTGGTTATTCTTAATGCTGGGCACTTGGATTAATTTTGGCCATCACAGATGTTGAGAAAGAGGAAAAAGTGCAAAGGGAGGGCCAGCGGCTCTCCAGTCTGGTCACTTCTGTGTTGCATCTCTTCTATGATGGTCTGTCCATCAGCCCCGTCTTCCATCTCCACTGCCTCCTGTCCAGTTCCAGTCTTCTCTGCTTCTTTCTTACACGTTGGCTATCACATACAGCACCCACTCTCTCACAGCTCATTGCATCACTCAAGGTTCCAGCAGGGAACACAAATTGTCTGAACTGGGTTCTCAAAAACAGCTTAATGGAGGGATTTATAAAGGTCTATGCTGTATAGGGGGAAAAAGCACAAAAGGGAATATTGCAGGCTTGTTTTTGAAGGGAGAAGAAAGAGGAGAGCACTAGAACCTGTAGGGAGAGAGAGTTACGGGAAGGGGGCCGCCCTGGTAAATCTGTACTCTGTAGAGAGTCACAGCCAGCTGAAGGCCATCCTAAAGGAAGAACGTGGGGAACCTCTGCCTTCACCTCACTCTCCTTCCCTTCACTAACCTATTGTTCTGCATTGGCTGAACTCAAACTTCAGATGGAGGACAAGGGAGTCCATTGATTCAAAAAATAGGGCACAGAATAGGGTAGAGATGGCTGGAAATCAGAGCCAAGAGATAAACGGACCATATCCCTAACAGTGATCTGGAAAGTGGACAAGGGGTCTAGACTTTCATAGAGGTGGCTGGTTTCAGCCTTACTTCATGTATTTTTTATATTCTTTGAAAAAAATTATAAATGCATTGCTGTTATTAGCTACCCATCTGTATTCTGTGAGAAAATACTCTGTTCTATTAGATCTTGATGTTCCTATGGGTCAAGCTTCCTTGAATCCTATTACAGTAATTACAAACACTTTGTCTCTTAA